TTATCATTTTAGTGTGCTGATGAATCCCATTATGAAGAATTCATGGGCCGCCTACTGAAAGGTACACTGGCTTACTTATCAAGGCACACAGTGGCACACAGCAGACTGGAGGAACTGATCCCATTAACACCATGAAATGAGACTACTAGGATGGAGCCTCAGTTTTGTGTTTGTGTGTGTGTGTGTGTGTTTCAATCTTTATTGTTGAAAGTATTATATATGTGCCCCTTCCCCTGCCATTGACCCCTTCTAGCCCTACCCCACCTCCCACCCCAGGCCTTCACCACCCTATTGTATGTATCCATGGGTTATGCATATATGCATACAAGTTTTTTTATTGATCACTTCCCACGCCCCACCTACGCTCTTCTATGTCTCTGGATCTATTTTGTTCATCAGATTCCACATATGAGTGAGATCATGTGATACTTGTCTTTCTCGGACTTCGCTTAGCATAATACTTGGAGGAGCCCTAGTTTTTGATGTTGCTTTCCTGATTCCAGAGCTGGGCTACCAAACGCTGTGGTAATCCCGCCACTGTTTTATACACACATCAGAACCTTCTATTAAAACAGACTAACTCTCAGGAGGCAACCAGGGGAATGACCACTCCCATCCCTATTCCTTTGCATATATTTCCCAATGACAGAAAGAACGGGGGTTGGGCACTGGCCAATAGGGACAGAGTCATATTACAAACAAGGTCATTTTCCTCTGGCTTAAAAACAACAACAAAAAGTCCCTTTGAATGTATTTCTAAATATTAAGTTAGAAAGAAAAGCATAGTTTTTACTTTTTAAAAAAAAAGGGCTCTACAAAAAGAAAATCAATTTAAATGCACCTGCCTTTAATTGTGGTACCTTTGCAAATTTTGTGAAGACTAGAACATATAATCTATAAAATCTATAAACTATCATCTATAAACTATAAAATCTATAAACTATAATCTTCTGTCTAAGCCCCATCCTGAGGATATCCAGAGACAGTAGCTAAAGCTACTCTGCCACTTCCAAGCCTCAATTCACACCTACACCTCACCGCTAAAAAAAAAAAAATTCAAAGCAGCCAGATAATGCTAGGTATTTTTAATCCAAGGAGGCTCCCCAAGGCATCTATTTAGGCCATCAGTCTCCTATGAGAGGAGCTGAGGCTGTCCCACAAAATGTGGTCTGTTAGCAGCCCTGGCAAAGGCCAGGCTCTGCTCTGCAGCCTTCAGGGCCCTTGGTCTCCAACTCTGCTCCACAGAGCAGACATTAATGAAGCTACGGTTTCAACACATAACACCGAGTGCTAACCTTTGCACTTTCATCCATTTGTGCATACAAATGAAGTAAAAATCCATCTGATGCAGATTTTTTAGAATGAAAGAATGTATTAAAATTTTTATAAACTGTAAAGTGTTAATGTTATAAAAACATTATAACATCTCACCAAATCATCGGTAGAGAAAAACAATCTGAGTTATGAAATAGTTTTTTAAAAGCTTTTTAACTCTCAGTATCTAGAATGGAATAAATAAACACTCAATAGAAATCCTTGCAGAATGCTTTTTTTCCTAAGTTAAAAAAAAATTCCCTCATTTCCTCATTAAACAAGTAATGCACACCAATTTTTTTTTAATTGGAAAATTACAGAAAAGCTATGTCACACTAAGTAACAGATATTCACTGTTAACATTTTTGGTCTTTCCCTTCTGGTCTTTTATTTGTACTTGGAATCAGTTCCCTTTTACTTTTCTTTTTTTGTTAACCCTCACCCGAGGATATTTTTTCCATTGATTAGTTGCCTCCCGCACATGCCCTGACCAGGGCCAGGGATGAACCTGCAACCCAGGTACATGCCCTTGACTGGGAATCGAACCAGAGACCCTTCAGTGCACAGGCTGACCCTCTAACCACTGGGCAACACCAGCCAGGGCCAGTTAGTTTCCTTTTAAACGAAGTTGTAATCAAAGTATTACTATTTACATCCTGTTATCTTGAACATTCCCCATGTTGTACAATTACTTGCTATATGTTATTCCATCAGCTCTAAAAGAATAAGCTGAACATATAATATATATAGGAATTACTAACAGTTTCATAACAGTCTCTGAAATATTTAAAGATAAACATATGAAGAATTCCAGGCTTCTAAAAGCTAAACTTAATTTCTGGTAAACATACTGCTAATTATAACCAAAACCAAATATTATGGAGTCCTTTTTTTAGAATAAGCAATCTTACCACTCAGCATATATAATCACTGAAATACTTCCAGCGTAATGGTATCTGTTCAGCTACTGGCAACCATAAATGTCCCTGAAAGCCAGAGAAATGTAAAACGTCTCTAATATGAATTGCAAAGTGAAATCTATATCTGAACAAACTGAAGTACAAAAACTGGCCATAAACACAATATTTATCCTGAGAAAAGTCATACTCATATATATTTTCCCTATGAGAAGTAGCAATATAAATCATCACAAAAAATAAAACTAATCAATACTGAAAATATTTTGATCTACTTAATAGCCTGAGTTCATATAAACACACATCAAATTATTTTCAAAATCACTGACAGGAAAATCTTAAATTTCCAAAAAAGACATTTGAGCACTCCTACAGAACCAGGAATTAAGGAAATGCTCAAAAGCAAACTGATGGCGTATGTCAAAGGAACCAAGGAGCCAACTCATAGAGCTCCCAGTGGCCAAGGCCAGAACAATTTGAGCAACAAAATAAATAGAATAGTACTGGATTTTAAACCAAAGTATAAAATAAATATCCAATCCAGCTGGTGTGGCCCATTGGTTGAGCAGCAATTGATGAACCAGGAGGTCACAGTTGGATTCTTGGTAAGGGCACATGCCCAGTGGGGCGTGCAGGAGGTAGCTGATCAATGATTCTCTCTCATCATTGATGTTTCTATCTCTCCCTCTCCCGTCCTCTCTCTGAAATCAACAAAAACATATTTTAAAAAATAAATAAATATAATATCCACGAATCCATACTGATATAAATAAACGAGTGACTAAATAAAAGTATAAATGTCCAACAGGTAGGGTAGATACATAAACCTGAAGGTCAATCAGAGGAGAAGCTTTAGATAAAAAAGATACGCTAAATAACCAGAGATGTGGCAAATGCTGGAAAAGAATTCTAATAAGATGCTATGACAGAGAATTATAGGGGAGACCTAATGAAGGTGGTCAGGGAAGGCCTTTCTGAAAAGGTGATTGTTAAGCCGAGAACTGAGAGATTTGAAGGAGCGAGTCATGTGAAGGAGTTGGAGGGGGGAGGGCGGAGAGAAATTGCAGGCAAAGAGAACACTAAGTGTAAAGATGCTGAAGTAGGAAAGTGTCTTAATGCCTCAACAATACCATTTATACAGAAGTTGAGATGAAAAGGTTGGTAGGTAAACGTTAGTGCCTGAGTGAGATGATGGCAAACACCTCCCAGGCTTACAGAAGCACTGACCTCAACCTGTTTAGCACCTCCCAGAGATATACCAAGGGGATTCCATTCTTTAAACTTTGTAGAACAACGTAGACATATATAGACTCCAAGGCCCCTGATAATCAATTATTCGGATGGCACTGGGAGAATTCATAGATAGGGACACATCAGAACAAAAAACTTAAAAGGAGCTTTCCAACTTCTCCCACTCCCAAGGTCCCTAATAACACCCATGAATCCCTTTGTCCTATTCCTTCTCTTCTGTGCTCACCCAGATTCAGTAAGTTGAGGGTCTATTTGTTTGTATTTTAGTTATGCAAGTGTAGTAAGATTGCAAAACAAAGCAATAATAATAAAGGACACGATGTGGCTTGTCTCAGAAGAGGAGGTAAAACTGTGGAATCCTATAAGGGCTCGAAAATTACATAAAAAAGAAATATGTAATAAATTCCCCTTCATATAATAGGTACTCGGCAAAATTACTTTTATATATGAGTAATTGCAGCAATAAACACAAATAAAGCAGGAGTAATGGCATCATTAACAACAGCCAAATATTTCAGGCAATGAACAGACCACTGGTGGTGCCCAGAATAGGTCTACTTCAACATTACTGGGAACATACCATTATGAATAAATGAAAACCACAGGAAATGCTCATTTTCTCAAGATTTGTATGCTTATAAGGAGGTCAACTGCTGTGGATTCCAGGAGAGAATGTATTTCTAGCGTCTACGGTCCTGAGAGGATGGGCAATGAGTAACTGATTGGAACTGAGCAAAGGAGAAAAGGAAATGTGTCAAATGTCAACTCACAGCCAGCACAGCAAAATGTTCTCTAATTATTCAGTATATAGAACACCTACCCAAATGCCTTCATTGATGAAACCAACTCTTGACACACCAGTTAGAGTCAACATGTATTGAGCCTTATATACAATGTGCTGTAATCCTCTGTGGAGAGAATTCTGGGGAAATAAAATGTAAAACACAAGCAAGTCTCTTTACATAAAAAGACTGAGGTCCAAAGATGGTAAATAAATTGGTTTAGAATACAAATTTGGATGTTATCATAAAAACAATTCTATACATGAAGTAATTAGGCTCTCAGGCCACCCACACAAATCCCATTCTGCTAACCAGAAGTAAAGAATTAATACTGCTACATAACACAGACAATAGAATTATTATTATCCTATCTAATAAAAGAGAAACATGGTAATTAACCATACCTCCGCTACCCTTCCCATTGGCTAATCAGGGAGATATGCAAATTAACTGCCAACCAAGATGGCGGCTGGCAGCCAGGCAGCT